AATCTACAGTCTAAACTGTAGATAAGAATGGAGAACGAGAACTTCAAGACTTTTCTCCAAAACCCTGCTTGTGCATACTTTATTCTGCCCAGAAAAAAGTCAAAATATGATAAAATTCGACATAAATAGTATTCTACCACAGAATTCGAATATGTCACTGTGTATAGTTCTGGCAGAATGAATATAATATTTCGAAAAAATTTCTTAAGTATTTTCATTTGGCAGGATAATGGCTCTCTAGCCAAAATAAATAAAATATTCTCAAATGAACGACTGATCGGTCAGAAATCAAATACTTGAACATTATAGCATGCAAATTATATCACTCATTGAAGAGAACCGGTTACGAGACCCGTTTCTGAAGATATTAGGTAGAAGTATTTAATAATTAATTCAACTTTATTTTAGTCGAACATTCAAGCTTAATACTTTCATAGTAGCCTAAAACAGCGGCTACGATGCAGAAGGTTTCTATCCTTACTACAAAGAATAGATGGAATTTGTGCCCTATCCCCTAGACGTATGACACAGGAGCGCTGACCTGGAAGCGATTGTCGAGATATTGAAAGAAAGAATATGGCGTAGAGACCGGATAGATTCGAAAGGTGTGCACTGAAATGTTGTGATGAAATATATGCTTTTTGCATGAATCTGAGAGTACGGCATTTTCCCGACAGTCGAGACATTTGGCTGTGTAGTGCAGTCGACGCTGTGTAGAGGAACCAAGCTCAGATTTCGCATAGGGGCACTTTCTTACGAGCTCGGCTTTTTTAAGAGATAACGCACCAAGGCAAAATAAGGATTTGGGAAAAGGTTTATTTTTTTACAATTGTCCGTGTGTAAGGACAATTATCCTCAAAGAATGGTAGTTGAAGCCTGTCTAGTTCATTGTAGATACGAAGAGATACTGGGTTTTGACAAATTTCCTAAGATGATATTGTTGGGGAAACTTTCATTTCGTATGAAAGTACATGATAAGAAGGCATTTAGGTCAATCCAATCGGAAGGCGGTGACTGATTTCTGTAGTTCTGAAGCCGTTTGGTTCTACTACGACGTTCGGGTTGACGCAGTCAATGAGACATCCTCGCACGCTTCGGATGAAAACGGGATGAGCTCTCGGTCATCATATGATGGACATCATCAGAGCCTGAAGTCATTCTTCTCAAATGTAAAGTTAATAAACGTTAGGTTATGAGGAAAAAGTTGGTTGGAAGGACTTCGTGACATAGACCTACTAGAAAGCGAAGGAGGATTGCTGAGTAATAAAGATTGGTTCAATGTGCGAAGAAGTCCTCGGTTCCGACCCTACGACTCCAATGAACATGTGCTAAGCTTTTGTCTGTAATGCCGTGACAGACATCATCAGAGCAAGAATCCATATGTTAGGGGGACCTTCATTTCGAATGAAAGTACATGATGAAGAGATTCGTTTGTCGTTCTCACCAGA